TAGCTAACCAACTGGCTCTTCAATCTAAACAAAATCCTTGACAGGCTATTCAAAAATTTTTTTTCTCTATTACTTTTTAAAATATATAATTGAATAGGTCACACACTTCCATGGCACAAAATTGAGAAAGTATATAACTGTACATCTTGTTTTTTCCACATATGTATCATAGAGAATTTTACATATAAGTATGTGAAGAGCTTTCTCATTTTCTTTTCCATTGGACAAATGTATTATTGTTTATGTGCCCTATTGAGTGACATCTGGTTATTTCCCATTTTTTGTTATGACAAACAATGCTACGGTGAATAACCTTGTACACACAACATTTTACACCTACGCAAACATAACTGGAGGAGAAATTTCTAGAAATAAAATTTTGGGATCAAAGTCATATATTTGTAATTTTTATGTATAGTTATTGCAAAATTGCCCTCAATTGGCTAATTGCATTCCCATCAGCAATTTATGAGAGGGTTTCCCCTTCCTGCTTTATCAACACAGTGTGTTGTCAATATTTTTATACTTTGCCAATGGTGTCTCACTGTAGTTTTCATTAATATTTCTCCTATTATGAGGTTAGCTATCCATTATTGGTATAGAAGCTATTTGTTAATTTTGATACTTAGCTCATCAGGTACAGGGCAATTACAAATGATTTTAGATCACTCTTTTATCAGAATTTCCTAACCTACTGTCTGAGCTAGAGATTTTTGTTCATTTTCTTTTATTCTGCCTCATTTTTCTAAAACGATCCCAGGCATCTCTTGGGCACCCCAGACATTTCACTTTAAAACTAGTATCCCTAGGGGCTAGCAGAGTGGCTAGCACAACAGTAAGGGTCCAACAAAATGTGCAACACATGAAGAAAAACAGTATCAGAAGCATTTGCTGACTGCTCCACATGGCAATGTAATCATGTAGCTATTTCATTCTCTATTTGCAATGTCAATTTCAAAATGAAAGATAAAGCTGCTTTAGACATGACAGTTTAGGTATCATTGTAATCTATTGCTCTAGAGGTTTTTCTTTTGCAAAATTAACTCTAAAGTGCTACCTTTTATTACGCAGAGAAATTCACTGTTTTATTTTCTTTATAATTAATTTTTAAAATCACATTGTGTTTACTCTTCGCTTTGTAAGACCCTGAACCATCTCTTGATCAACAGTCTTTTGACCATAATGGGGGGCGGGAACATTCTTTCAATTTTTTCCAAGGGAGGGGAAGGAGAGCAGAGGACTTGCTTATGTTGATCTATCTTCACTCTCTTGGCCAAAGCCACTAGTGACATGTGCACACACATGTGGGACACCAGGCTAAGGTTCTCTAGTCTGGTCAGGGCCATGGAAAGAGAACAGAGTTAACAGAATCTATACCTCTTTTTTTCTTTTTTTTAAAAAAGATGACCGATAAGGGGATCTTAACCCATGACTTGGTGTTGTCAGCACCACGCTCTCCCAAATGAGCTAACTGGCCATCCCTATATAGGGATCCGAACCCGTGGCCTTGGTGTTATCAGCACCACACTCTCCCGAGTCAGCCACAGGCTGGCCCCAGAATCTATACCTCTTTTTTTCTTTTTTTTAAAAAAGATGACCGATAGGGGGATCTTAACCCATGACTTGGTGTTGTCAGCACCACGCTCTCCCAAATGAGCTAACTGGCCATCCCTATATAGGGATCCGAACCCGTGGCCTTGGTGTTATCAGCACCACACTCTCCCGAGTCAGCCACAGGCTGGCCCCAGAATCTATACCTCTTAGTCAAACTGTTAACTTTGCACCATTAGCACCAGGCTCTAACCACTTCTCTTGGAGAGGTATTGTGTAGGCTTTTATACTCACTACACAAATAACTCCTGCAAAACTTTGGAGATCCAAAGGCTGAAGGAGTCTTATTAATTATCCTCCCCTTCCTCCTCATCATCACCCAAAATAGTAACACTATCTAACATTTATTGATTGCTTAATCTATTTTAACTGTTCTCCATCTATTAATATATTTAATCCTATTATTCCATTTTACAGATAAACCTGAAGCAGAGTGAAATTAGGTAACTTGAACGAGGTGACACAGCTAGTGTCTGAGTCTGGTCGGTTTTGAGCCCAGGCAGTCTGGTTTTGTTCTGCAATTCGCAAAAGATAAAATGTTCTCTCTCTTTTTGTTTTTTGAAATGTTCATTATTTGAAATGTGGTCCCCAAGTGGAGCACTCTAAATTGTCAGTGGTTGGTGGCGACATCAGATGGTAATCCGGGTGTACTGCAGCCCTCTCATAATTTCCACAAACCACCCCTGCTCTAGCACTCCCCAATAAACCTATGCTCCAAGTAAAGCCAGTATGCTCGCTCTGCAGAGACAGTGTCATGACAAGCCTGCTTCCAACCAGACTGTCATCCTTCAACCCCTTTTTTCCTGTATCTGAAGAAGAGGCATATTTTCCAAGTTTAGCTTGTATTTTGGATCTCATTTCTATCTCCCCAAGTATTTTACTCCATTACTTGTCCCTCATTTTCTTTCCCCTTCAATTTCTGTTTCATTGGTGGCTCTTCCTACTCAACCTGCAGATAAGCTTCAGTTTCTTCTCTCCTGCAATGACAGAAAAGAAGCAAGTAAGCAAACAAACCTCTTCTTGAATGATCATCCCAGATTCACTTTCTTAAAGAAGAGTTCCAATAGAGGGATTGCCCCTTGCTCAAAAATCTCAATTCCTTCTCAGTCACTTTCTGAATTAAGTGCAAATCACAGTCCAATATTCAGGATTCTCCAAAATTGGAGAATTTTAAATTTCTATTTACTTTCTGGTTATATCTCCTACAACTCTGCTCTACTTCCTTGCCACACAGGTCCTCACATATAACTTCCTGCCTGAACACTTTTGCAGAAGATTACCTCCACTTGGATTTACATTTATTAGAAGACTGTCCTGCTTCTTTCTAGTTACTTGTGGCTATATCACTCACTCTGAGTACCCAAAGGGAGGGACTAAATGTTACCAGGTGAGAAAGTAAAAATTATTTTGGACCAAGAAAGCAAAAATTCAGCCATTCATCAGGCTGGAATGAAAGACACAGATAAAGTCAGCTGCAAATTTTTTTTTTTTTTGTCTTTTGTCTTTTTTCCATGTCCGGCAACGGATCGCAACCCTCAGTGTTGCCCCCGTACCAGACCGGGGACTGGCAACAGGATTGCAACCCTCGGTGCTGCTCCCGTGCCTCGCTCAGCCAGTGAGCGGGAACCGGCCCGTATGTGGGATCCGAACCCTCGGGCAGGAGCGCCGCCGCGCTTCCCAAGCAGCGCACTATCCAGTGCGCCACCGGGCCGGCCCCTGTCAGCTGCAAATTTAACAGAGAACAATATTTCTTTCGAAGAGATGCTGCAGCTGTAAAGTAATAACAATGCCCATATTTGAGTGACTGCCATGTTTTTATTCACTGAGAAACTTTGCTCTCTAAAATCATAAACTATCAGAGACTTTGCTGCATATCAGTAGGAATAAAACATCCCACATTTGCCTGGGGGACATAAGTTTCTTTGATACAGAGAAGCAGGCTTGATTTCCAACCCAGGTGCAGAGCTTCAGATAAGGGGTATCTATACACAACATTCCACATCTATCTTTACTTTGTGCTTCCCAAGGAAACAGAACTCTGGGTTTATTTTGTAGTCCAGACCTAATGGTGGTCACACCCCCCACCCAGTGACACAGTCTTGCTTTGCTTTGAGCTTACCAAGACACTGCTTCATTTAAAATTTACTTAAACGACAACACCAAGGTCAAGGGTTTGGATCTCTGTACTGGCCAGCTGCCAAAAAAAAAAAAAAAAAAAAATTCACTTAAACTTAACCATTCCCCCAAATCCTGTAATGACTATATTTTTCCTTGGTGAGATGCTCACGATTTCTCTGGTGGGCAGTCTCCCTCATTGCAGTGGTTCAAAAGCCTTCGTCAGATTGCAGATTTACCCCTGGCGGCCTTATGCTGATTGGGCTAGGATACAGGTTTTGCATCCCTGACAACTTAGCTTGTCCAAAGCAGGCATTCAAAACTGCTCATTGCAGTAGACTCTGCATTAGAGTACTTGGGTTCTAGTTACATTACCTGGACTAAGTATATGGATTCCATTCTCAGTTCTGCCAATAACTAATTAGCTGGACCGTCTTAAGTAAGTCAGTGCACCCTATTTGGCTTACATTTTCTCTACTGTAAAACGAGGGGTGGGGTGGGGTGTGTGTGGCGGGCTATGTTATCCAACCCTAGGGCAAGGGCTTTGGAGTCACATAGACCTAGGTTGGAATCCTAGTCCTGAGACTTTTGCTTTTCTGAGCCTCCGTTTTGTAATGATTAAAATGGAGGTAATATTGATAAGTGCAGTGTAGATTTTCCGGTGTTGCTATTAGGATCAAGTTGGTTGTTAGGAGGATCGCTATATTTGATCACTATTTCTATTACTATTATGTGACTTTGGACAAGTTACTTAACTTTCTGTGCCTCTGTATTCTTATGGGTAAAAATGGAGAAATAATGGCCCATATTCCCTGGAGTTATTGTGAGCATTAAATGAGATGAAAAAAGTAAAGAACTTAGAACAGTGGCTGGCATATAATAAGAGGCTCAAATATGTGATCTAATGTTATTAGTATTAGATTTCTACTACTAACTACTCTGCGGGCCAGAAGCTCCGGATAAACAGTTCCATTCTAAGGACCAAACCAAAAAAAAAAAAAGTACTGCAGGCTGGAAACAGCGAAACATAATGGGGAATTGCTTTTTCAAACGCAAATGACACGCCCAGCACTGGGTTACGTCCCACCCAGTCCTCATTAAATATGGCAGCGAGATGGCCGACCTACCGCGGTTGCGCAAGTTGAAACTCCGCCCTGCAGCTCCTCCTTGGCCGGCGTCCCCCCTCCCCCGCTGGGCCCATGTGCGGGGTAGGGGCCGCCTTGGCGCGCACGCGCAGAAGCCGGCTGGGCTGAGCCGATACTCGCTAGGCGCCTGTCACATGAGCCGCGCGTCCGCTCCGCTCCCCCTCCTCCCCGGCTGGGCTGTGTGAATGAAGCTCTGCCGGCTACGTGGGGCTCTAGCTCAACTTAGTGCCCTGGACGCCGGAACCGACCGAGCGCGCTGCCCACCGGCGGCGGACACGGGCTCCGCCGCTCCTGACCTCGGCGACAGGTAAAGACAAATGAGCTGTCCCTTCCCCAGCAGGTCCTTCGCGGGCCACTGGCTATGGCCCACCGCTGGAGCACCCGCTTAGCGCAGCGACACAGGGGAAACGCTCCCCTGCTGGCTCGGCCCCCCAGTGATGGGGGTTCCCCGTGCCCGACTGCCGCCACCCTGCACTCGGAGGAGGTAGACAGGCTAGGTCTAGCCAGTCCGGGGTGGCATCTTCCCGGGAGCCCAACCCTGTGCTCCGAGGAGGGTCCCTGGGCTGCCCGAGCGAAGTTTCCTTGCGGTGCGGCGCGCCAAGCCCGCCTGGCTTTTGAACCGGGGTGATTAACTGTCTGCGTCCCTTTTCCAGGACTGGGGTAGGGTGGCTTTTGCTGGGAAAGCTCAGTCGAGGCCCCGTTCTTCTCCCTCCTGCTCGGGACTTGCCGCAGGTTTGTGTGGGTCTTAGCCGAGTTGAGTCCCAACTCTCGGAAAAGTAGTTGCTGCGCCTTTTCCTTTTGCCACAATGCGAGGAGCTGGTCCTCTCCAGCCTTCCAAGCCTTGCGCTTGAGTGCTTTTTCCGTCAAGGTAAAGCTTCACCTTTACATTGACGCGCGTTTACCTTTATTAACATTTCAGAGCAAATCAGTCGCCTGGATTTCTAAGTGAGGTTGTACGTGTACCTTGTGATAACGTCAGTGGAAGCTGCCCCGAGTAAGTGAGGGAAATCCAGAAGTTTGGGGCATAAAAAGCCAGTAAGAATCCGCTTTACGTTAACTTCATACCTTTATTAGCAACTACTCGGGTTTAACTTCAGAGGTGTTAAATTTCTCTTTGTCCCACGCGGCGCGGATCAGTACTTCTTAACTGCACGCGAAATGGAAGGAAAAAAGGCAAACCCAAACAAACTGTCCCAGGTTCCAGATAAGTCACTGGAGAACGTTTTCCCAGTGAATTCATCTTGGGAGTTTGTGAGTTCCTACTTTTCTTGGACTTAGCGAACCCTTCCTTATCCAAAGCAGTTTTTTTTTCTATTGGTGTTTTTAGAACTGGTGTACACATGAACTCTTTTGTCCTTTAAAAAAAAGGGGGGTCATTAAAGAAGGTCAACATGATTCTCAAGTTAGTATTAGCCTTCAGTGTTTGTGCTTTAGCGCTTTCACTGGAGGTGGAGGTGTGGGTTTTATAAAAGCTATGGAGATTGCAGTCTACTTTGATGTTCACCAGGTCAAAAGGTGAGGACTTTTTTTTTTTTAGAAAAAGCAGATTGGCTTGTATGCTACATAAGGAAGGCCAATTTATTAACTAAGAACGAACTTGTTGAAATGGACAGAGTATTTAATATATTAAACTTCTGAATCAACAACTAAATAGTCAGACCTCTGATTTTTTTCTGCCGTTCCTACCTCCTTTCATATCCTTGTAAATAGTATTGCCCTGAGGCTGGATTTGAAGTTTTAGCAATAGGAATTAGCTAAATTAATTTGGTTTTACTTAAATTGGTATTCTATTTTTACATTTTCTTTTTCTTTGGTTAATTTCCCCCCCTAATTATAAAAGCGATATATGTTGGGGAGGGTAGGTATGGGGACTGTCAGTACTTTCTGCTCAATTTCTCTGTAAAACTAAACTGCTATAAAAATGAAGAAAAAAAAAAGCAATATATGCTCACTGTAGGAAATTTGCAAGGTGTGGAAAAGTCTAATGAAGCAGAGAGGAAGAGCCACTACCCAAAGGGCATCATTCACTTTTAATTATGCTTCCTCCCCCCCCCCCCCCCCCATGCAAGATTTATTTTAAAACTTTAAGAATTCACAAAATTTGGTCTCCTTTCTACTGATTTTTAAATGTAAAGTTGGGTATTTGGGGGGTTGGGCAGGGGATTGGATATTAGTGCTGCTCTCCATTCCCCTAAGTGTGGAACCTCAACATAGGAAAGGCACTTCTCTCATCCAGCCACTCATTCTTTGTGATTCTGGACACCATTTACTGAAGCTCCAGTGATTCATGCAGAATTATACAACATATTAACTCACCCTAAAGCTCCTGATTTTCTTTCCTCAGTGATACCTGCCTGCTTAGGGAGAAACTTGACACTGCCTATATCTGAGTATTTTTGAAAGACAGGTTCAGAGAAGGGCAGAAGATAATTTTCATGCATTTGGGGTTTTTTTTTTAGGTATTCATTTTTCTGTTTACATTTTCAGGTTTGGGGCTTTAGCGTCTTGCAGAAAGTGGGACCACATTGCTGCCTTTCCATCTACACCACATTCAAGTCTACCTACAAAACTGGGAGCTCTGGGAAGCCCTGAGCCTGTGACCCTAGCGTGGGAGATAGGATCAAGATGGCCATGTGGCAGGGTAAGAAATTAGTGCTTATTCCTCTAACTGGTTTTTCCTCCTACTCTATCCTCCATCCCCACCCAACCCCCCAAGCCAGTGGCAGGCAGCCAGGCATTTCTTTAATTTAACCCTTTGTCTTTGCAAGGACAAAGCACATTAGTTTAAAAGAAGTTGCTGCTAGCTAGAAGTTCAAATTATTTTAAAGTGGAATGGGGGTGGGGGGAGAGCAGGAAAATATTGTTCCAGAAGCATTTAAAAGAACTCCCTTCATTTAAACATGTGCTTGTGGGGGTTATATGTGAGGAAACGGAGGATATTTTTTTCTCATTTGTTTCTGGCAAATTTCCATCATAAGATTCTCAAAGGTGGGGGAGACAGATGTCAGTGCCTCTCCAGATTCCTCTTCCTGATAAAAACTTTCTTGGGATTTATACAGTTTGAAAAGCATGTTTAATGTTAGAACATTTGCATTGGTGATAGAAGGAAAATACCTAATTTAATAATATGAACTATATGAAGGCAAAGCTCAACAGTATCTTGGCTGATGGTTTAAATCTCTTGTGAACCTATGAATTCCTACCACATTCAAAGTTATTTTTTTTTATCTTGGTGGGGTTGAGGATTGTGCCTTTCTGGACAGTATCAGAATCTCCAGGTGTGTGTATGATTTTTATATTTATCACAAAGGGGTATGGATTTAAGAAATGATAGACAAACACTACTGAAATTGGTCTGTGACTCACAAAAGGTTAAGGACCACTTACATGGAATAGAATGAAATAGCTTGAATATATCTGTGTTCAACAGGTAGGTTTGCTGGTATCTTAAAAATGTTTCATTGTGTTGGTTATGGCTCAAAATATGTAGGGACACAAATGTAACAAGTAACATTTGATGTTTAATTTAAAGACATTTGTTGAATGGATGAGCCTTGAAGACATTATGTTAAGTGAAATAAGTCAGGCACAGAAAGATAAATACCACATGTTCTCACTTGTATGTGGAAGCTAAAAAAAGTTGATTTCATAGAAGTAGAGAGTAGAATAGTGGTTACTAGGGACTGGGAATGGTAGGGGGAAGGGGGATAGGAAGAGGTTGTTTAGCAGATACAAAATTACAACTAGATAGGAAGAATAAGTTCTAGTGGTCTATAGCACTGTAGAGTGATTATAGTTAACAATAACTTATTGTATATTTTCAAATAGCTAGAAGAGAGGATTTTGAATGTTCCCAATACAAAGAAATAAATGTTTGGGGGGATGGATATGCCAACTACCCTGATTTGATCATTATTCATTATATACATGTGTTGAAATATCACATTGTACTCCACAAATATGTATAATTATTATTATTTTCTGAAATTAGTTTCTAGCTTTATTTTTTTATTTTTATTTTTTGGAGGCTGACTAGTGCAGGGAACCAAACCCTTGACCTTGGTGTTACAAGGCTGTGCTCTAACCAACTGAGCTAACTGTCCATCCCCATACAATTATTATATGTCAATTGAAATAATAATAATAATTTTAAAAAGGATGTTTGTTGAAGTGGGATTTGGCCTGTATATATGCTTTGACTCATGCAATGGGCATTTATCAAGAGCAGTTTGGATATTCTTGCTTAAATACTGAGACATTCTTTCATTCAACAGAATACAGAGGTAAATAAGATGCAGAACCCTAGAGGGTTCCTTGTGTCTGGGAAAGACAGACATATAAACAAATAATTATGTCACGATGAATAGTGTTACAATAGGGAAAGGTGCAAGATGTGATGGAAGCCCAGAGAAAAGCATGATGGACTCTGAGGTTTTTTTTTTGTTTTTTGTTTTTTTGGGGGCAGTTATAATTTATTTATTTGAACTGGGTTTCAGTTGTTTAGCAATGACTAATAATATCAATGGCTGCCAATAACAATGACTAAATAGAAAACTATAAATTTCACTGTTATGCCTTGAGTCAAAAGTTTCAATGATGGATAATTTTCACCAAGATTCTGTTGCTTAGTTAACCTAAAAAATAATTATCCTTCACCACAGAAATTTAATGGAATCCTAAATAACAAATTTACTAACAATTATTCCTGTAATGCAGTATATATTCATTCTTACCAAAAGACCGTTCTCTGTAGAGTTCAAAGAAGTATTATGCCACAATAAATCATTCTTATTTTAAGAAGATCTCTTGTTTAGATGCCAGTGCAGATTCAGATTGTGCTAAACAGAAAGGGAGCAACCCCATTTCTCATCTTGTAAAGGAGAAAAGCCTTTTAAAAAACTCTTTGACGGAGTTTCAGTAGATATGTTTGGAGTCAAACACAGCAGCACTTTAAAGGACGGAATAATATGATCATAAGGAAATACTCCTGTCTAAATTAAATGATATCTTGGGTGGTATAAAATGAATACTAACAAGAGTAGGCATCCCAATGTGCCTGTCTCACAGCTGTTCAATGTGAAAGTGGCTTGTAAGCAAGGAAAGACAAGAGCAACATTCACACCACAAATTGACTGTAAAATACTTCATTACATTGAGAAAGGTAATGGATGGCCGTAACCGTCAACTATCAAAAGGAGCCATTTGAGTATCTACTGTTAATTGAGCCAAACAGTCTTGTTAGATTTTTTACTGCTTGGTACAGAACTTGGGTACTGATTTCTTCACTACGTAGGAAGCAATGTTCATGTGCTTAATAGAGGTCATTAATCTTTCTGATTGAGACGGTCCAAACCCAGATCTGACCTCAGAACACTGGGTCTAAGGGACTCTGAGTTTTGAGCTGGTCAAAAAAAACGAGTAGGAGTTTGCCAGATGGGCAAGTGAGAGGATTGCATTCTGTGCACACAGAGCAGGGCTGTTTGGAAACTTACAAGTTGCTTTGTTTGCCTAGTGTGAGATGTGTAGGGGCACGACCTCAGAGGAATTAGGGAAGTTAGTTGGAAGCCCAATAATAAAGGACCTTGTGTGTTCTAGGAAGGATTTTACACTTCATCCTGAAGACAATGGTTCTAAACAGGGAAGTAACATAATCAGATTTTGTTTCAGAAAGATTACTTTGGCAGCAGTGCTGAGGTGGGGTTGGAGCTAGAGACAGTAAATGCCAGGAGGTTTCTGGAATAGTGGTTTAGGGGAGAGATGGCGAGGGTCTGAGCAGAAGCAGGGGCAGCAAGGTTGAAGAGAACGGGATGAAGTCTAGAAATGTTCTGTGACTGGATGTGGTAAGAACTGAATGAGGATTGATAGCCAGTTTGGGTGCCTGGGGGTTGGCAGTCCCCTTCTCTGAGATGGGGAATGGGAGGGGCTGCTGAAGGGCATGGGGATGATGGTTAGTGTCCTGAGTTTAGTTTGACCCTTTGGGGTTGAGATACCTGCGGGCGGTCAGGTCAATGTTTCAAAGAAAGCTTTGAAACCATAGAACTGGAGTTTGTGCAGGTGGGAGTCTAAAGTTTTATTCCTAATGATGCATAAAGAGATTGTGTTTTTTCTCTGTAGGTGATGGAAATATCATTAGTAGTTAATGATTTATTTATTTTATTCTTTTTGGCAGCTGGCCAGTATGGGGATTTTATTTTATAATAAAACATTTTAATGTTTAACAATTCTTAATAAAAATACCATATTTTTTGGTGCCAGTAACACCAAGGTAAAGGGTTTGGGATCCCTATGTCGGCCAGTCGCCAAAATGGAAAAAAAAAAAAGTGTGTGTGTGTGTATATATATATATATATTTTTCCTCATATTTTCTTAATAAATAATATATTTTTCAGGCTCAAGCCCTGAAATCTGATCTGCTTAAAATTACATTGAAGTGAAACCTCATTTTTGTAGCATTAGTGAAGAAGGGAGCATTGGGAAAATGGAACAATTTGGTCAGGCTCCCCTCGCCTCGCAGTGGGTTCAGGGTGGTTTAGTAACATTGTGTGTGTGGGTGGAGTAAGTGCGCCTGCAAGGCGGCGCCACTTTGGCTGGTGTTTTACTGCCTCGGGTGCCCGACCGCTCTGTGCAGCCATGTTTCTTCCAGACCTGCAGCTTCCGTGGACCGTGTGGCCAGTTACCTAGTTTATAGACCTGCGTGAAGGGGTCTGGTGACCCAGCCTGGCGAATGAAGGGTTTGTGACCCAGTCTGTGAATGGGCTTGAGGGGTCTGGGAGCTCCAGACCCAGCCCTAGCTCAACCATTGGCCCAGTTGGTGCAGGATTACCGGTAGATAAAAGAGCCGTGACAACCAGCGTGGTCACCTAGCTTTACAATTGGCATCACGAACAGGATTAAGAGCTAGACAATTGGCACTGTAAGCAGGATTTCAGGCCTTAGCAGTTGCCAGACAAATTGGCGTAGTCGGCATCGACAAGGGCTACTGCGAGGCTACTGCTAAGCTATGGCTAAGGCCTGAAATCCTGCTCACAGTGCCAATTGTAGAGCTCTTAATCCTGTTCGTGATGCCAATTGTAAAGCTAGGCGACCATGCTGGTTGTCACAGCTCTTTTACCTGCCAGTAATTCTGCACCAACTGGGCCAATGGTTGAGCTAGGGCTGGGTCTGGAGCTCCCAGACCCCTCAAGCCCATTCACAGACTGGGTCACAAACCCTTCATACGCCAGGCTGGGTCACCAGACCCCTTCACGCAGGTCTATAAACTAGGTAACTGGCCACACGGTCCGTGGAAGCTGCAGGTCTGGAAGAAACATGGCCGCACAGAGCGGTCAGGCGCCCGAGGCAGTAAAACACCAGCCAAAGTGGCGCCGCTTTGCAGGCACACTTACTCCACCCACACACACAATGTTACTGAACCACCCTGAATTGGCTGCGAGGTGAGGGGAGCCTGACCAAATTGTTACATTTTCCCAACAGGGAGTATTCTACGTAAATAAGCTCTTTGGATAACACAGATTGGGTCACAAACCCTCCACACTCAGGTCTTTGAGCTAGGTAATAGGAAAAAAGGTTCTGGGAGACGTGGGTGTAGAAAAAAATGAATGGGTTTTATTCAGATCTAGGAGCAACTATCCTAGCTGCTTC